GCGCCCATATCAAGTCATGTGCAATTAATAAGCCAGTAAAGAGGCCGACTTTCAAAACTTGAAATGAAGGGAAGTCTTACTTGTTTAGACTAGAAATTACCTAGACGAAAGTGATTTTGCTGGAAATATATAAAACGTGAGGCTTAAGCTTTGCTTTCCAGCACAAACTTCTAGCCTTCTTAACCTTCATCCTTGTCCAATAACAAAAACTATCAAAAAATATAGTTTGGACAATCTACGTAGCACAAGATCGCCTTTTTTGCTGTCACGGATCAACCTGTGAACAAGATAAACCCAATGGGAATCAAAAAATGGGGGTACTACATTGGGCAGAAGATGATCCAAAAAGCGAATGCTCACCCAGCTAAAGAAAAGAGTTTTGGAAGTTTACCTTATCATTTAAAATGGAGAGGGGCAACATATATTACTAATAAGAAGAAAAGGGGTGAGATAGGCAAGAAGTAGCTTGCTTCCTAGCAGCCCAACTGCAAAGAATCAAGAGATCTTTTTGGGTGTTGACTTGGATCTCAGGTGACGAAATAAGGCAGCCAGAAGCGAGGAGCAGTCGCTGTTGAAGCTTGGCTATAGCAAAAGTCTTTATATCAAAATTTTAGAACAAGTACGGATTTTTACTCGTATATCTATTAATGAAAATACCATAAGGAGTTTAAAAATAAACATGATACGACATGTAGCTATGCATTAAATAAAAACAAATAAAAATGCATTCATTGCTAACATAAACTTCTACATAATTTTTTATTCTACAATTTTAGATAATTGATTTAGCTTTTCTTTTCGTGTATAATTCATACATGAGCTTTGCTCATCCTCCAAATTTAATTTTTTTTATCCTTCAGTCCCACATTTTAATTCTCAAAACAGTCAAAACGATCAAATCAAAACCCTAAGTTTAACAACTTTAATCATGAGTTTACAATTTTATTTTATTTTTTAATTTTTTTTTATATCATTATGAATTGAATATATTCAGATTTAAATATCAGCATGGAATATCTACCCAACCATGCCTAAATGTTAGGTCAGTAGAGTGTAATGCACATTATATGACTTTGGCATTAATGAACATATGGGTGGACAGGTTGTCCATAATCAATAACATGGAACAATTAATTTCTTGAATAAAATTATAGGAGTATGAATAGCAAACTAGCTAGGAACGGCACTTTCATGAAGGGTTGGGTACGATACCTTGATAAATGGATCGAGTCGATTCTTATTAAAGATTGAAAAGTTGAAATTATTGATTCTATGTAGACAGATAAACCTAAAATCAGAGCGATATTGATTGAATAAAATAAAATGATATAATAAAAAAGGCAGGCATGTAAGCATGGATTCCTCTTTTGGCCTCCTAAATGTTGAAATTCGTTCAATTTGGGGGCTTTAATTTACTTATGATTTCTTTCTTAGAATACTCATATTCTGTATTTTCTTATTTAATTTAGAAGTTGAAGTAGGCAAACTAGCAAGGGTTGCCTAGCAAACAACACTTTCATGTAGGGGTTGTTACCTTTTCGTTCCGGATATTTTGAGTATGAGATTGAGGCGATCCCATTGAAAGTTGTGAAAAAATGAAACCATTATATAGGAAAAAGAGAAACTAAATTGGATTAGAACAAGACCAAACCAAGAACGCTTTCATGTGTTTAACCAATAATCAACAATTTTCAAATGGGCATCTAAAGTGGCCTCATAAATTGGTATTGAAATTCCTTGAATTTTGTATAATTTTGTTGAGATTACTTAGAATACTTCTATTTTAATTTGTCTCTTCTACTGCAATCCATAAAGTGGCCACATAAAGTGGTATTGAAATTCCTTGAATTTTGTGTAATTTAGTTGAGAGTACTTAGAATACTCATATTACGCGTATCATTACTTAGAATACTTATATTTTGTCTCATAAGATGCAAGGTGAACCATCCCCTTGATGGCGGTAAAATCTTTTATTTTAATACACGTAGGTGAACCAATAAAGAATGACTTGTAACCTCATAAGGATGTAAATGGTTATGTTTTCCACCCATTAATACTTGCATTTTTATGATTAATTGATGCCTAAATATACTTAGTACCCTTATATTTTGAATTAGGTTGCAAATGGATGGAAATTGTGGAATTAGGAAGAAAAGAGCGAAAAATGACCAAAATGGAAGAAAGTGAAAGTTTATGGACCAAGTTGCAAATAATCCATAGATGAGCTGGATGATAGAATGAAGATTCAATAGTATTAGGGATCAATCGGATGAGAAAAGAAGTCAAAGAGATGAAATATAGTTGAAATATTATCACATATCAACTTTCAAACAAAAAAGTTATGCTCCAGATTTTTAGTATATGCTTCAAACCCATTTTTGACATAGTAAACGTTTGGATTGGGAAAGTCTATTTCTAATGAAATTGTATCTCTTTGCATTAACTTTTCCATGCACTTTGAATCGCCTCAATTAGATACCGAAAGAGAAAGTTATGGCCAAAATATTGAAAACTATCCAGCGAAGAAAAATAATTGAACCATGTGACGCATAGCACAAAAGCCATGCGGTCGCATAAATGCTTCAGAGAACTCATAGGCTCAAAATGCTTGAACCATGCAATCGCAAGACCAAAAGCCATGCAATCACATAGAAGAATTCCGGTGCGCGAAGTCTGGTTTCCTAATTCCACTCAAACACTTATGGAAATAAAACTTTTTCACATTATATAAACCCTAAATCATCCCCTAATGTACAGATACGCCTCCATGCATATTTTTCTCTCTTTGTGCTCTAGGATTCATGACGTAGAACTAATTCTTTGTACATGATCGAAGGAAACAAAAGCCATGGAGTCATTATAACTATGAGATCCATCTGATTTTCATTATTTACTTTATATTTTCAGTATTGGATTTTCTTCTGCACATAAATTTATGATTGTTATGTTTGATTGCTAAAAAGGCCTATTAGTTTATCATGTGTTACGAACAATAGCTAAGTTAAATATCATATCCGTAATTGTTTGATTCCTTTAACTTCTGAAGCAACTAGGGTTTGATGATTTGCTACTTCAAGAATTATTAAATCCTAGGAAGAATGTTAGAATCGGTGAAATGTAATCGCTTGTGCTTCCGTTATCCAATTCATCGATTTCAATAATGTGTAAGGCTGATATTAAATTAAATCTTAGCGCTTGTCTAGGATTGTTTAATAATTAGGGTTAATTAGAGCCCTTGTTTTCTAACTAACTACAATTAAGGAGAAATAGGAAAATATTTCCAACGGTGAATACTAAAATGTGAATTGATAATTATATGTGGAACAATGACCAGTTGTAAATCTCCAACGGTGAAAGTTGACTTAGATCAAGGTTCATTCAACTGATTTCATTTAATTCGTTGATTTGCATTGCTATTAATTATTTTCTTAAAGCTGACTGTGTTATAACCAAAACCCCTCATTCTCTTTAATATAGCATAAAAAGTAGATTAAATACTCTTCGTGGGATATACCTTTACTTCCACTATTGCATTAGTTTTGAGGAGTCTAGGTCTTAATTTGGGATGCCTACAACAGCACTTCCCATAAACCATAGAGTAACACGTGAATAAATAACAGAAACACTTATTAGCCCACCACTAAATAGCCGCCACTTATCATTTTCTAGAATGACCCAAAGCTCCAAGGAAATTTGTAAATACTCCCTCATGAGAAGAGAACAGCATGCAAAATTCAAATATCTCCCTCCAAAATAGTCATACCGCCTCTCACTCCTATTTAAGCGTTAAGACTAGTGAGTTTAGGAGGTGAAAATCCTGTATTGGTAAGAGGAATTTGTTGATTGTCAACAAATTGGAGTCGTATAGGGGAAAGTTGAACAAAGAAATGTATGATTTTGCCCTTTTAATCAACGAAACATTTAAATATGCAAATGATGATCAAAGTGGAAAAGCAAAGCAATGGTTCTGAAGATTGTGATATGAATCCCAAACGACGTTGAGAAGAAACGCCGTCAAAATTATACATCAACATTTTCTCCACTTAGTAGTGTCGCTTATAGACAAAGACATCTATAGTAGAGACTATACAAAAAATGATGAAAACCCTTAAGATACTAACAGCTGAAAATGAATCTCTGCAAAGTTTGAGGATGAGTTGGAAAGTTGAAGTTTCTGAGAGTAAAATTGACCCCATTGCTAACTTCTTCCCTAGGAGGAGCAATAAGTTACTGGTATTTAAAGTCCACAATAATATGTTATAGAGAAAGCAATATGAGTGGCAAATGAACAATCCTAGCCTAGAGAGACTCGCGGACGAGAATAACCCTCATAACAAGAAGTATGACAAGCAAAATCACCGTGAAGATCGGATAATGGAAAGCTTGGTTAGCTTGTATAACTTACATTTGTATGGAGAAATTGAAGACCAACCTGCAATCAAGAAATGAGTAATCATAGGAATGTTCGTTAAAAATAATGATGGAACAGGTACTACGCCTAGGGTTAAATACTGTGAGGCAAGAAGAAGGAAAGTCCGTCAAAAATTATTTCACACTATTTAGAGTTGAACTGATCATTGGTAAATATATGTCAGAAGAAGAGGTGAGAGGCCTTATGGAATGGCTTGTTAACAAAAACTTCCTTTTTGAGAGATCTTAAAAAGGAAAATCCATGTTCCTTCCACCAATTAGTAAACCGATTGCAATATGAGATTTAGACAAAGGATATACTCAAAAATCAAGTGAAGAAAGTACAAGGAACAAGGCTACACGAAAATTTTCAGAAGAAAAAGCTCAGCATATGCATCCAGATGGATAAAAGTACCATGCCTTCTTTTTTATGAACCCAAGGGCAAGTGCATCCATATGGTCAAAAGTACCATGCCCTCATTTTGATGAAATTAGGGCAAAACGTGCACGCTTTCTACAGCACCCTCACATATTTTAAATAAAACAAATCAATCCTCTAAAATATCGAAGGCAAAGTTCTGCATAACCCATCAGGCCAGAAATAATGATACAGGTGAATTCTTCGAAGTGGTTAAAATGGTGAAATAGGAACCCAGCAGAGAAACATGCATGAAGTACCTAAAAATTGGAGGACTGCATATCCAGCCAAAAGACAAGATAAAGGAAAAAAAAAATAAAAACATGCAAAGATGTCATAGGCAATAATTAATGTCCCAAATATTAGACATTCGATAAGAGAAATCAATAATATAATTGAGAACCCCTATATTGTTGGAGAAATGAGGAACGCCAAAAGGTAGTATCCCAAATAGTTAGGAAACTTGCATTAAGAAATTTTTGGATTTAAGGTAATCCCAATAAAAAAATTGAATCTAATTACATTTAAATAATGATGAAGAATAAGGAATCATATATCCTTACTATGATGCATTGGTAATGTGAATCCCAATAGCTCGCAAAGGCATCAAAGTCTATTAGAGAATAATATGTAATATTAATATTCTTCAAAAATGTTTTTGATCAAATGCAGGTTAATCATCTCTAGATGCCTATGGCTGAACTTTAGCATGGCTTCAATGAAAAAATACCGATTCTAAAAAGACAGATTACTCTAGCAAGTGGGCCAACTAAAAGGCCAATCAATAATGAAAACATAAACAAGCTTGAAAATTCTTATATAGGAAAGCATCTGATGCTGTGAAAGGTAAGTAGAAAAACCTACTTGTTAGTAATGATAACTTCGCAAGTATTGGTAAAAGCATAAATATCAAAACAATCAAGCCAAGGCTATATCTAAAATAGGGTAATAATAGTGAGAAAAAGAGATAAACACGAGAATAGCAAGAACGAGCATCTTCCCTCCTGTAATAGTCTTAGTTAAAGGCGAGTTCTCTTCTGCCTATGATGAAATTTCAAAAACCAAAGGTGAGGTTCATTCCACAAAAGAAAAACGAGGACTAGATTCCATCCCCTTAAGTAAGATCTACTATGAAAGAATGAGTTAGGCCTACCCACAAGATTTTAAGTCATGACGAGAAATCATTAACTGTGTGTGAGATATTTATATAACACAATGCCATGACAAAAAGTCAAGATAATGATTCCTTAATCTATATTTTGTCACAACAAATGATTGAATGAAATCATGTATTTTACGGATTGTGTTAATAATATATACAAAAAGATGCTTATGTGAAGCACAACTATGTTGAAGGAAAGATGGGTTTACTAACTTGGATTGGCTAAGGCTTTTAAGAGGACAATACTAATAGGAAGAAGGAAGTGAAAAAAAAAAAAAAAAAAACTTGTATTTCTCAACTTCAAGACTTTACACACTTTTTTGGCTTGTTACAAAATGGGGAACACTACCACTTTATATAGTGTTTACATGAAGATTTTAGTCCTCACAATATTCTAGAGACACCTAGACCACACATCAAGATATTTTCTTAGAATTCTCTAGATATTCTTTATAAGACCACTTATCTTACTTAGATATTTATATAAATTTTTCTAGATAATGTTTCTAAAAATGCTAGGCATGTTGAACCTTTTAATTGATTTGGGCATATAAGCAAAATCCTTAAGCCCATATTATCTAGTCCAAAAATTAAGTTTACTACTCAACATCCCCCTTTAAACTTGATTTTCCTACTCCAAGTAGAGTTCTTAACTTGCGGAACACATCATGCTTAAGTGACTTAGTGAGAATGTCAGTGATCTGCTCTTGGGAGGTTATATATTTCAGCTACACTTCTTTCTTTGCAATACTTTCTCTTATGAAATGATATCTTATATCAATGTACTTGCTTCTGTCATGGAATGCTGGGTTCTTTGCCAATGCCAATGCCAATTTGTTAGCAACATGGATTTCGGTTGGTTCTTCTTGTGAAACTCCAAGCGCTTTCAACAAGTTTCTAAGCCAAATCACATGGCAAACACTTGATGTAGCTGCAACATATTCAGCTTCACATGTAGATAGTGCTACGATCGATTGCTTCTTTGAGCTCCAAGTGAAAGCTATGTCACCCAAGTAAAACACATACCCAGTCGTACTCTTTCTATCATCACTATCTCTGCCCCAATCCCTGTTACTATATCCAACAAGTTTGAACTCATTAGATGATGAATAGACTAAGCCATAATCAAGAGTACATTTGATGTAGCGAAGAATTCTCTTTGTAACTTTCATATGAGTCATGGTAGGTGTCTCTATATAGCGACTGATGAGCTCAACTACAAAAAGGATATCTGGTCTTGTGCACGTCAAATATCTTAGACTTCCAACAAGACTCTTAAAAAGTGTTGGGTTTTCACCTTCATCATTCTTCGACAACTTGGTTCCGCATTCGATGGGGGTGCATAAAGGCTTGCAATCCTCCATATTGAATTTCTTTAGAATTTCTTTTGCATATCTTGCTTGTGAAATAAAGATACAATCCTCCATTTGCTTAACCTCAATCCCAAGATAGTAAGTCATAGGGCCGATATCCGTCATCTCAAATTCTTGAGTCATAGCCTTCTTAAACTCAGTGATCATTCTTTAATTATTTCCTGTGAATATAAGATCATCTACATACAAAGAAACAAGCAAAATATCTCTTTTCTTATTTACCTTTATGTAAAAGGCATACTCGTAAGGGCATTTTGTGAAGTTATTTTCTAGAAAATACTTGTCAATTCTACTATTCCATATCCTTGGAGCCTGTTTCAACCCATATAAAGTCTTTTTTAGTTTCAAGACTTTACCTTCATGTCCTTTATTTTGTAGCCCATTGCTTGCTCTACATAAATTTCTTTTTCGAGATAACCATTTAGAAAAGTTGATTTCACATCCATTTGAAATATCTTCCACTTATTTTGCACTGCAAGAGAGATAATTAATCTTATGGTTTCTAAACGAGCAACAAGAGCAAATACCTCTTTATAATCGATTCCCGACCATTGGTTGTAGCCTTTGGCAACCAATTTTGCTTTGTATCTTTCTACTTCTCCTTTAGCGTTCTTCTTTGCCTTGTATACCCACTTAACTCTGATCGCTCTCTTTCTTTTGGGAAGAGTTGTCAGCTTCCACGTGTCATTTTTCTCTATAGCCTTAATCTCTTCATCCATAACATCTCTCCATCTTTTATTTTGCGCCGCTTCTTCATATCCTATTGGTTCACAATTGACAAAAAGACAAAAGAGTGTGAGATCATTTTGATTTTCTGTTACCTCATATAGCTCTTGTAGGCTCCTCATTCATGGTGTCCTTTCACTTGAGCTTTCTCCTTGTGAAGATGATGGAGAAGCATCTCCATGAGTAGGTGATAGAGGTGGACTGATAAGCTCTTGCTGCTCTCCATTCTTTTGTTCTTCTTCCTCAAAAAATGGTAAGAAGCCATAGTTTTCTTCTTGGACACCCCAATCCCAAGCTTCTTCTTCATCAAACTCAACATCTCTACTTATGATGATCTTCTCCTTGTTTGGATTATACAACTTGTAGCCTTTAGAGCGAGAGTCATAACCGATAAAAACATACATTTCACTTTTGTCATCTAGCTTGGACCGTTTTTGATCTAGCACATGAGCATATGCAATGCTCCCAAATACTCGTAAGTGAGAGATGCTGGGCTTTCTTTCACTCCACGCTTCTTATGGTATCTTATTCCACACCTTCTAGAAGGTGATCGGCTAGACAGATACACGGAGCAATTAACAGCTTTGGCCCAATGTTCTTTAGGCAATCTCTTACTTTTGAACATGCAGCGGGCCATGTTAAAAATGGATCTGTTCTTTCTTTCGGCTACTCCATTTTGTTGTAGAGAGTATGAAACCGTCAATGGGCGACGAATTCTATTCTCCTCACAATACTTCTTAAACTTTTTGTAGGTGAACTCTCCTCCTTTATCTGATCTCAAGGCCTTTATACTATATCCGCTTTCTTTTTCAACAAGAGCTTTAAACTTCTTAAAAGTTTCAAAAACTTCCAATTTTTGTTTGAGAAAATAGATCCAAGTTTTTCTACTAAAATCATCAATAAAAATAACAAAGTAATTGCTCTTACCGAGAGAACTTGGATTGATTGGCCCACAAACATCCGAGTGTACAAGTTCTAGTGGCTTCTTAGCTCTTGTACATGCTTCTTTTAGAAAACTTTTCCTCGAATACTTTCCAAGTAAGCATCCTTCACATAATTGATCCACATGATTTATTGGAGACAAACCTTTCACCATCTTCTTCTTATTCAATAACTTTAAGCCTCCAAAATTTAGATGCCCAAATCTCAAGTGCCAAAATCAAGATGAATCTTTAAAACAAGCTTTTAAGCATTTGGCAACATCATTTTAAATGCTTAACACAAACATTCTATTTTTTGTCATAGGTACTTTGGCAATCAAATTTTCTCTTTGATCTCTTATTGAAAGACTATGATCTTTCAAATGAATATCATAGTCCTTCTCTAAGAGTTGTCCCAAATTTAAAATGTTATTCTTCATATTTGGCACATAATAGACATTTGAGATAAATTGATGCGTACCATTTTCAAGCGGATCAAGTTTTTACCTTTTCCTTTCACTGGGATCTTGGATTCATCTCCAAAGGTAATGCTGCCGCTTACTGATTCATCAAGCTCCACAAACATATTTTTTCTTCGACACATATGGTTGCTTGCTCCTGTATCCAAATACCAAGTGTTCTTTTCTCTGCTCTCTTTACCTTTTTAAGCCAACAGTAGTGCAGGATCCACTTCAATTTCCCGACAAGCATAGTTTGCTTCCTCCTTAACTTGACTAGTAATATTTCTACATTCTGAAGCATAATGACCAAGCTTTTGACAATTATAACATTTAATTTGAGATTTGTCATACCTTGACCCTTCATTTTGCCTCGTACCTTTTCCTCTTCCAGGACCTCTGGTGGAAAATGAGCTTTGTCTTCTATCCTCCTTGTAGAATGCACTTATTCCTCACTCTTGGCCTCGTCCTCGTCCTCTTCCGCTTTGGCTTCTATTACTCCCGAACCTTCTTTCACCCTCATTCAAAGTGAGCTTTGTTTGAAAAGCTTGCTCTAATGGCTCTTCTTTCACCTTCTTCTTTAGTCTTTCCTCATGGGCTTGTAAAGAACCTATGAGTTGATCGACATTCATACTGTCTAGATCTTTAGATTCCTTAATGGCTACAACTATGTAGTGAATTTTAGAATCTAAAGACCTAAGTATCTTCTCAATTACTCGAGTGTCGTTCAACTTTTCTCCATTCCTCTTTCATTGATTCACAATAGCCAATACTCTAGAGAAGTAGTCAGAAATTGATTCCGATTCTTTCATATGTAAAGCTTCAAACTCACCTCAAAGTGTTTGGAGTCGAACCTTTTTCACCTTCTCAACTCCTTTGTGGGAGTTTTGCAAGATCTCCCATGCTTCCTTACTCGTAGTAGCACAAGCTACTTTCTTGAACGTGCATTCATCTAAGGTTTGATAGATAAGGGTAAACACCTTCTTGTCCTTCTTCTTTGCATCCTTCAAACTATCCATTTGTGCTTGGAATAAAGAGATCTCGTCTTGTGGCTCCGTGTAGCCTTTCTCTACGATCTCCCATGCATCTTGCAATCCGAGCAACGCTTTCATCCTTATGTCCCAATTGTAGTAGTTATCCTTGTTAAGTTGGGAAACTTGAGAAGGAATCATCCCACTTGCCATTTTTCACAAGAACTTTAAAGCTCTGATACCAGTTTGTTGGAGGAAAGATGGGTTTCCTAACTTGGATTGGCTAAGGTTTTTAAGAAGACAATACTAATAGGAAGAAGGAAGTGAAAAAAAAAAAAGGAAACTTGTATCTTTCAACTTCAAGACTTTACACACTTTTTTAGCTTGTTACAAAATGGAGGACTCTACCCCTTTATATAGTGTTTACATGAAGATTCTAGTCCTCACAATTTTCTAGAGACACCTAGACCACACATCAAGATATTTTCTTAGAATTCTCTAGTTATTCTTTATAAGACCACTTATCTTACTTAGATATTTATATAGATTTTTCTAGTAGATATTTACATAGATTTTTCTCGATAATGTTTCTAGAAATGCTAGGCATGTTGGGCCTTTTAATTGATTTGGGCATATAAGCAAAATCCTTGAGCCCATATTATCTTGTCCAAAAATCAAGCTTACTATTCAACAAACTATAAATCGAGTAAATTAAATAATGTGATCCCAAACAAAGTAAATGAATCAGTTTTATGCAAATGAAATGGTAAAAATTTCACTACAATAAGAGAATATGACAAATACAAAGCTATTTCTTCAAATTAACAAAAGTCAAAAAATTCTCAAAAGTTGGATCGTCCAGGCTAACTGAAACATTGCCCTATAAATGTTTAATCGCCTTGGAAGAAGGAGAAGGAGTTGTAAAGAAGTGAAATCTTCAATCACCAAGGCGATATACAAGCTCAGTAAACAAAACCTCGAATCAATACCTAAACCAAACGACCCAAGAACACCACAAAGGTTCTATCTACGGTTGCTAGACCTTTTGCCACTTAGAAACCATGACAAAGGAGGAGAAATATCACCAAGATATCAACACAAAGAAAAGCGACGGAAGGCAGTAGAGTAGAGGCCGAGAGAGAGCACGTAGAGATGAAGAAAAAAGACACCAAGTATTGTGTTAAAATGGCGTTCAAGACCAAGTGAATAAATATTGGGCCAAGTCACAAATAAGGTAAGTTAGGTCTAGGTAATGGGTCTTGACCCAATAACACATAGTGGAATATAGAGTGAGCCTCAAGTATAGCTAGCCATCCAAGTAGGTAGAAAATATGGCCCATGAGCAACACAATGAAATAAGTTGCTTCAAATGGTCCAATCACTTCTTGGGTCGAGTCGTTCCAATTTTGGTATTGATATATCGTTCAGTCATACTGCAAATGGCAACTAATAATTAATAACTAGTTTACATCATCGCCCGGAAGTCGTTTGACAACAATATGTCTAACAACCTCTACCTTTGTGTCAATAGACCTGCAAAAAGAAAACGTTTCTCATTAGTGACATCTCTAATAGAAAACTAATAAAATTGGAAATCATTTACCTGTACTAATGTTTAGAAGATCTTTGCAACTTCTAAACTTTACCAGTGGTAGCACTTTCGTGCCCATATCTCAAGGGTTGTACTGTGTGTGGACCTTTTCAAGTCTTACCACCTCTTAAGATACTATATCTCTAATGAAGTGTAGTCTAACGTCAATGCGTTTAGTGCGCTCATGAAAAATAGGGTTCTTGCATAAATGTATAGACGATTGACTACCAGAATACACTACCACATAATTATTCAAGACACATAATTCATGAAGTAAACCTCTAAGCCATAGAGCTTCTTTAATTGCTTCAGTGATAGTAATATATTCGGACTCTGTGGTGGATAGTGCAACAATGTGTTGTAATTGTGATTGAATTAGATAAGGTGAACACGTAAGAGGAAATCGATTTCCTACCACCCCTATCTCCTGCATAATCAGTATCTACAAAACCCTTCAATTTCATCCCATCTTTATTAGCACTAAACTTTAGACCTGCGTCACTCGTACCCTTCAAGTACCTTAATAGCCATTTTAATGCTTCCCAATGTTCAGGACCCGGATTAGCCATATACCTACTGAGAGTACTAACAACAAAACCTAAATATGATCTAGTGTAAACCATCAAATACAATATGGAACCAATCATATTAGAATACGGAACTCTACTCATGTATTCTATTTTACGTTCATTACAAGGAGATTGTTCTTTAGATAAAATAAAATAATTAGCAAGAGGCGACATGACAGGTTTGCAATAACTCGTGTTAAATTTCTTCAACACCTCATATATGTATGGAGAATGATGCAAAAACAAAACAAAATTTGACCTATCTCTTTTTATTTTCATGCCTAAAATTTTCTTAGCCTTACATAGGTCTTTCATGTCAAATTCACCTCTTAGTTTTGCTTTTATATTGTTTATCCACTTAGAAGAAGAACCAATCAAAAGCATGTCATCCACATAGAGCAACAAAAAAAAATAGTTATTATCAGTCTCGTTGTGTTGAAAATATAAATAGTGATCAAAATTATTTCTTTGGAACACTATAGTGAATACAAAGGAATCAAACATCTTGTACCACTGTCTAGGGGACTGTTTTAAATCATACAAGAATCTGTTCAGAAAACACACATAATCAAGTTTTAACTTATCCTTAAAACATTTAGGTTGGTTCATGAAGATTTGTTCATCAAGTTCACCATGTAAAAAATAGTTTTTACATCAAATTGTTCAAGTTTCCAGTCAAAATGCACAACCAATGTAAGCATGACCCTAATAGTAGTGTATTTAACAACTGATGAGAAAATCTCATTATGATTAATGCCCTCTTTCTGTGTGTAACTCTTAGCCGCTAACCTAGCCTTAAACCTTAAGGGGTCCGAGCTACTAGTACTTTTCTTAACCTTAAAAACCCATTTGCAATCGACGATCGATTTATTCTTAGGCCTAGGTACTAGTTCTCAAGTCTGATTCTTTTCTAGAGAACGCATCTATTCTTTCATCTCCTTAAGCTACTCCTTAGATTGATCACTACTCATCGCCTCTTCAAAGGTTTTTAGCTCTCTATCAACTAGTTCTTCATAACTAGCATGGGCGAAAGCTAACTCGAACTCAAAGCCGAACCCTCTAGGTTCTCTTATTTGCCTTCTCTCTCTATCTCTGACTAAATTGTAATTAGCTAAAGTATTTTCTTCCTCAGAATGCTCTTCTATCACTACTTCATTACGATTCTCCATCTCAGGTTCCTGAACTTGAATCTCCACATCATTTGGAGTAGTAGGGACAGGTGTACTAAGTTTTTCTAACCCATCTTAAGCCGATCTCTCTCTTTACCTGGTTCAGTTTCACTCACAGGTTCGATTTTTCCTTTATGACAAGGCATCTCATTATTGTTAAAAAGTGACGTCCCTTCTCACAATGATCTTAATCTCCTTTTGGCTCCTATCCTATAACCTATAACCCTTAACACCCTCGGGGTATCCTAGAAAGACACATTTTTTAGCTCTAGGTTCAAGCTTTCCTTCACTCTATGAGAAAATGCAGCACAACCAAAAGTTCTAAGTATAGAGTAATCACTCAATTTACAGACCCTCTCAAGTGGAGTGTCACCATTTAATGCAGCAAATGGAGTCAAATTAATCAAATAGTAAGCAACCATAATAGCCTCACCCCAAAATAATTTAGGGACACCAGAATTTAACATCATGCAATGCACTTTATCAAGCATGGTCATATTCATCCTTTTCACTACCCCATTTTTCTGGGCAGTGTAAGGAACCATCTTATGTCTAGTTATGTCATTTTCTTTACACATACTATCAAATTCAGTGTTGCAAAATTCTGGGTTGTTATCTGTCCTTAAAAATATGATCTTCTTGCCAGTTTGGTTTTCCATTTGTTTCTTCCAGTTATTAAAGTTATGAAAAGTCTCAGGTTTATCTTTCAATAGATAGACTCACACTTTCCTAGTATAGTCATCAATAATAGAAAGGAAATACATATTCCCACCCGATGTGGGATTACTAGCAGGTCCCCACATATCAAAATACACATATTCAAGCATGCCTTTAGCCTTTTGAACACTCATGGAGAACGATGTTTGATGATGCTTACCAAATACACAGTGATCACAAAATGACAAATCTGACACACAGTCATTACCAAAAGTACCTTTTTCATTAATAAGTTTAAGTTCCTTAATGCCTACGTGTGCAAGTCTATTATGCCATTTGTGTGTGATCAATCTTGGGAAAAGAGATAGAGGACTTCAAATTTCTAATCACTTCCCCAATGGTGATGTAAATATCATTTTTATTAATTCACTTAATAGAAATCAACACACCCTTAATCATCTTTAGCATACCATTTCCCATTTTACTTGTGAAGTACTCTTTTTTAAGTCTCCCTACTGAAATCAAATTCCTAAACAATTCAGGAATATTTCTAACGTCCTTTAATGTGTACATAAAGCCAGTGTCAAAAATTTCATATTTATGTCACCAATTCCAGCAATCGTATAAACAAAGTTATCACATAGCACAACATACGCAGCATTCGATTCATGCAAGTTATCAAACCAATTCTTTTCAGACATCACATGAAAAGATGCACCTAAATCTAGTATCCACTCATGTATGCATGAATTAGCAGTTAGATTCAATTCAGCAGTGTATGCGACAGACTTGTAATCGTGTAGACCTCACTGTTATCTATATCGAAAGTAAAGGATAACACATTTACCTCATCTCTCTCCTTAACCTTTGACTTACCCTTCTCCTTATGGTAATCCTTTATGAAATGCCATGTGTTCCACAGCCATAGATTTTCTAACCTTAGTCCTAGATTTTGATCTTAACCTACCATTTCCCTTCTTTTTCCATCCATTACCACTCGACTCGCCACCGCTTTGGTAACCATCATGACTATTTTACCTAAACTGAGTTCTACCCTGCATCATATATAACTCACCACTTCCTTTATTGTGTTTTTCAGCCCTAATTTCCATCTTTTTACTCCTAAGAGAATCTATGACAGTTTTAGGTGTCAACTATCCCCTACCATACTTAATGGCATTTTTAACTTCCTTATAAGAATCAAGAATAGCATTAAGCAAGATTATA